TTCTGATGGTGATTTTGACAGCCTAAACCTAAACTAGGTTTCTCAGATTATCTTCTAAAATCCATCCTTTAACAAAATAACCTAGATGCCAGCACTATTTTGTTCTTAACCTTGTAACTCTTCTGGTCCTGTTTTGTCATTTCTAGGTGTGCCAAACTTCACTTCAAAGAGTTCATTTTATTCCAAGGGGCAACCAATTAGGGATCAAAGACTTTATTTCATTTTGCAAAGCCCAGCCTGGAGAGTTTATTACGCTGGATCAATCTCCCTTTGAAGATTGCTATCTTTGGGTGTGAAACCTGAGTCCCAAGAAAGGCAGATGAGAAAAGCTTTGGGGCAGCCACCAGACAGGAAGGTGTCATTTATACCAACATAGGAAAGCAGAGTCAGGGGCGCTGGAGAGGATCAAAAAGTTGAAGGTACATTGGACATATGGCAAAGAGTGGTGACCATCTGGAAAAGCGGATATTGTAATGAGGCAGGCAACAATCAAAAAGGAGAGTTGAAATTAAAAAAAAAAAAAAAAGCCAAGGAAAACACTGAATGATATACCAGTGAGCATGTTTAAAATAATAAGGGCCGTTATGGTCAAAGTCACCGTGCTATGGTCTAGCCATACTCCATTTCTTTCAGTTCTGCAAATGCAGTATGCTCTGTCTAGCCTCTGTGCCTTCATGCAGACATACCCTTCTCTCTGCTGGAATATTGTTCTGTCCTCGCCCTCCCTACATTTTCTTTTCAATAAACTAACTCTTTCTACTTATTGTTCAGATCTCAGCTTAAGTCACTCTTCCTCTGAAAGTCCAGGGAAGTTCCTTGAAGACCTAAGTGAGTTACTCCACCTCTCATGAGGAGTATTGCCTTTACCATGGGACTTCTCATACTTACTTTTACTGATTGAGGTTTTTCTTTCCCGAGGGCTCTATGCTCAGTCATGGCGGGATCCTGCCTATCTTGTTTCTATCACCACTTTAATCTCAGCACCCAGCACAATACCTGGAACATGTCATGTTGTTCTCATTTCTAAAATGAACGAATCAACGAAATCAACTTGAGGGGACCAGTCAAGCTATTTGTTTTGAAAGAATATCCTATCAACTTGCCATCTCTGCTACAACCCCTCTTCCACTGAGTGAGCAGAGATGAAGGCCGACACCACCTTGGTGCCTCACAGTTTGTAACTGCAGTGGAACACTAGGGCTCATACCCTGCCGATTTTAACAGATCACAATCATTCTCTCTTCCTTTGTGCTAAAATAAGGACATTTCTTCAAATAAAGCAAACTCTACCATCTTCTTTGCATATGTTGCAAATCTTATCATTGTATTAAACAGTTAGATAAGAGTGGTTACAGGCATCTTCCTCAGACTATGTACCCTATTTTCAAGTGAAATCTCTCCTTAGAACTCCAAAAGAGCAAACACATAGTTATTTGCTAGTATAGCTGTATATTAAAATTTTAAATCAGATCATTTACTGATTTTAAAATCAATGAGAGGAAGGCAAGTGGAAGCATTTGTGTTTTGCCTTGTGTTGATGTTCATACAGAACACTTTTGAGTGTGCATTCCTTTGTAAATTGCAGTTTTTAAAATAGTTTAGAATGTATTTTAAAATTAAATATATATTGAACTTGGGGAGATCTATGAGTATCTGTGTGGTACAGATTTGAAAAACACATCTGTGCCAGGCACAGTTCTAAATGTTTTGCCCGTATCAATTCCTCTACTCTCCAGAACAAACAACCCCATGAGGCAGATAATAGTATCCTGATTTTATAGACAAGGGCCCCAAGACAGAGTTGTTAAGTAACTTACCAACTTACAGTAGTAGAACCAGGATTAAATGCAAAAACAGACTCCATTCATTCTTTTAACAAATATTTTTGAGTGCCTACTATCTGCTAGGCACTGTTTTAGGCAATAGGCACACAACAGTGAACAAAATAGATAAAAATCCTTGTCCTGTGAATCTTCTCCTCTGGTGCAGCTTCCATTCCAGCATGTTCACTCTTATCCACTACACTGTACTATGGCTCTCCTCTCTAACTGGCTACCCTGGTCTCTGTGGACGGCAGGGCGATAAGACAGCCAGAGTCAGAAATAGACAAGTTGGCTGAGAGCAGAAAGGTGAGTAGGAGCTGGCAAGGAAGGCAGTGAAGGAAGAGCACTGCAGGCACAAGAAACAGACAGAAAACCATGGAGCCCAGTAGCATCTCAGCATCCTTACCACTCTCCTCGTTGTTGTCCTAGCCTACAAAGGGGTCAAAGTCCTGTCTAAAATGGGCTGCTGGTGAGCTTCCTACTTCACAGAGATTAATCCTAAACTGGTCTTAAATTTCCTTCTCAGTATTTTGCTGTAGCCCACCATCGTTCCCAGTCTCACCTTCTCCCTTCTTCCTGCTCCGCCCTGGTGTCTAACTGAATCAGTTCTCTCACTTTTGGTCTTACTGCTTCCTTCCCCAGTTTATAATTCCTCCTCTTGATTCCTATCCCATGTATTCTCAGTATAAGAGTATGCAATTCTCTACATACTCACTCTTGTGTCCTCAGATTACGTGCAGCTTTACTCATTCCTATAACATTCATTGAGTGCCTATAATGTGCCACACATAGTAAAAATGCTAGGTACCTGTGGGAAGCTGAAAAATGGCCCATCCAAAGATACTCACCTCCGAACCACTGGAATCTGTGATTGTTACCTTATATGGCAAAAAGAACACAGATATGATTAAATTAAGGATCTTGACACAGAGAGATTTCCTGAGATTATCCAATTGGGCCTTAAATGCAATCACATGTATCTTCATAAGAAGAAGACAGTAGGAGACTTTGATATATACAAATAAGAAGATGATGAGAACACAAAGCAGACAGAGATTTCAAGAGCTGGACCTTGAAGATCGGAATGATATAGTCACAAGCCAAGGAATGCTGGCAGCCACTAGAAATTGGAAGAGACAAGGAATGGAGTCTCCCCTGGAACCTCTAAGGGATTATGGCCTCGATTTTGGACTTTTGGCCTTCAGAACTGTGAGAGAATAAATTACTGTTGTTTTAAGGCACCAATTACTGGTAATTTGTTACAGTAGTCTCAAGAAACTGATATAGTACCCTTTCTCTAGTTCCTTCTTAGACTTTCCAAAGCCATTCCTACCAGTTTCCACAGTCTATATTAACTGTGTATTTCCATGTTCTCCATTGAAAACTCCTTGAAACCAGGGACTGGCACCTTTTCATCTTCATATATCCCTGGCATTTTATACAATACTTGACATATTACAGATGCTCAATAAATTTTTGCTGAATGAATAAACTATAATGGAGCATTATAGTGTCATTTAATTTTTTTATATGTGAAAGTATTGTCTTTTCAATTAGACTGTGAGAAACCATGGCTTTGCATCATCTGGGGTGCAAAGCACAATATGGTGAACTGTTCCCAGCTGAGGGATGACACAGAGGTTTCATCTCCCATGATCAGTAAAGGCTACCTGGATACTCAGTGAAATAGGACACCTTGAACAATTAATTATGTCTGTCATAGATGTGATACTAGAGAGGAGTGTATATGAACATATACTTTGCCATCCCTGACCCAGCTTTTGTCCCATGGATAAGATTTCTCTTATCTAAACATGAAACAAATGATATTCCTGCCCTCCAGAATCTTAGAACTAAAATTTGGCGTTTATAACTCGCCCATGGTAGAAATAGCTTCTCATATTCTTGGTTCCTGCTGTGAAAATTGAACAGTGTGTGTTACTTTTTAGTTCAACATTTTCAACAACAGACCCTGTTCTAAGTGCTGGAACTGTTCAGCCCTGGCCTTCAAAGAGTTTGAAGACTAATAGAGAAGATAAACAGGTTTTAGACCAACCCAGGTAACCAGTGTGAAAGGGGCTACAGTGTGGGTCTGTGAAGGTGTGGTGCTGCCACAGGGCATAAATGTCTTAGGAGAAAGGGGAAGACTGAAACCTTCAGGCAAAGACCTTGGATTAAACCTGGAAACTGGCTCTTAAAGCATTGACTAAAGGGAGGGAGAAAATTCATCCTGCTGTGGATCAGGAGCAAGTGTGTGTGACTCAGTGGCTCTCTGCCTTCAGCTCTGGGTCCCAAAGGAGGCCTGTGCTGTCTGGCTGATTTTGCAGTGAGCCTGGTAAAAATTTAGCATTTCAGTCACTCCCTGTCCCCTGAGCAGAGTTCCGGAAGCAGGATCAATAGGGAAACATCGTCAGCAGCTAGAGGATGCTATAAATCTTTTCAGCCCTGAACAGAAATATTTGAGTGGGGGCTGGCTGAGGCTGCTGGGAGGAGCTAACACAAAGCTTTGGGGTTCCATTCTAATGAGCACTTTCTGCTGCTTAAAGCTGTGTTGTTGGAGGCTGAGGGCAGGGAGCTGGTGTTGATGAGTCTCTGTTCAGACCATGGGGTGAAAACCAATGCCTTAACAGACAGTTATTAAAATGCCCTTTTCCTTCAGTAGTTATTTGTCAAGAACGTGATGTGCATATGTCAAGACCTTAGGAACTACCACACAGATAAATGCTTCCTGCTATGCTCTGAATGTTTGCGCCCCCCTCCTCCAAATTCATAGGTTGAAATCCTAATGCCCAATTAAAAGGTAGGATTTGGGGATACTGATTAGGTCACAAGGGTGGAGCCCTCAAGACTGATTAACGCCTTTCTGAGAGAGGCCTGAGAGCGACCTTGCCCCTCCCACCATGTGAGGATACTATAAGAAGTCTGTGACCCTGAGAGGACCGTCACCCAACCATGCTGGCACCCTAATCTCAGACTTCCAGCCTCCAGAACTATGAGAAATAAATTTCTGTTGTTTATAAGTAAGCTAGTGTGTGGTATTTTGTTATTGTAGCCCAAACTAGGATACGCCGCACCTATTTACCCATCCAAACATGCTGATGTGGTGGAGAGGACTCAGGCCATGGAGTAAAAATGATCTGGGGCGGAGCTTAGCCTGCACCTCAAAAGCTGTGATCTTGGTCCATCCTAATCCCTGCCAGTAGATCTGTGGCCTGCCAGGTTTCGCTTGTGGACCAGAGCACCTTAGAAGCCTCATCCCAAGCAGTGAGCACAGCTTCAGTGGGTTCATGCCAGGGTGCTTCTAGACACTGGGGAGGGGAAAAAAAAGAAAAAAAAAAAAGCTGCATGATCTTAGGTGAATTCATCACTGCTCCGAGCTTCATCTTCCTCATCTGTAAAATGAGCATAAAAATAGTACCTACATCACTGAATGTATATTAGAATGTAGAAGATCTTAGCCAAGTGCTTGGAAGATAATTGATGTTAGTTACAAATAATTTTTTTGGGGGGGCGGGAGGGAGGGCAGGTTTAATGTTTGCCCTGGAGGTCAAGAACAGGTTGCAGAACAAAAAGTACGAGCCATGCCTGGGGGGGAATGTCTCAGGGGATGAGGGTTTATTGACTTACAGTAAGATTGGAAAGCAGTAGGGTGCTTAATATCTGCTGCTCCTCATTCACTCATTCAGCAGATATTTACTGAGCTAAAACAAGCCAGGCACCCTGCTAGGACCTAGCAGTACCCAGACGATAAAGCATCTCCAGCAGTATCTTAAATTCTATGAGAACAAGGACAATGTTTGGAGTGTTCGCTGCTATAGTTCTAACATTTAATAGTGCTAGGTTAGTAAATATTAAATAAGTATTTTCTAATGAGATAAGTAGGTGTGGAATGATTATTTTTAGTGCAAAATGGCAATAATAAAAATAATACCTATCAGAAACTACGTGTGTCTGAATTTGGCTAAAAACTACCAGATGTCTCTCCTGAACCACTGTGCCAGCTACTGCTCCTCACTACTCCCTACCAGCAGTGGACGAGGACATTATATCTCTCATCTCCACCTACACTTGGCACTATGCAGCTTTTTAATTAATGCCCATCTAAAATGTATAAAGTGATGGCTCATTTGTTTTTGATTCACATTTTTCTGATTACTAATACATTTGAGTAAAACTTCAAATGCTTGCTAGTCCTTTGGGTTTTCTTTTCTGGAAATTGCCTGTTGGTGTCCTTTGCCCAATTCTGCCCCTGGGCATATATTTCAAATAGAGTCTCAAACATGACCATAGAGAGCAGTGCACAAGAACACTCATGGCTGCTATTCGCTGTTGTGGGAGGTTGGAGGCAGCATGAGGTCCTTCACTCAGAGTTAGTTGTTCTGGGTGGGGAATGCATATCTTTAGGTACTCTGTGGCAATTCTAAGTGATTAATTAGATGTAGAGGTAGCAGCATGAGGCTTCTTAAAAGCATAGAGATAGGTGATAGAACTGAGATCTATAAAACAATGCTACTCATATGTAAATTACAAATTTATGCAATTAAAATACCCATATGTGTGTGAGTGAGTGTGTGTGTATATTTTTTATAGAATACAGAACATGTTAAACACATTACAGTGGTTTTTGGGGTGGCAGGGAATAAAGGTGAAGAACCAGGATCAAAGAGAATAATGAAATAAATAAGAGAAAAGACCTTGATGATGATAACATGTCAAGAATTGAAGAGTAAAAGTAATTCAATCCTGTGCGCCTGAAATCTGATAATAGAATAGTAATTAATGGCCATGAATACAATACTGCTTTATATTTCTATGGCTCTTTGAATTTTTCAAAGCATTTCACAGCTATTTTATTCGCTATCAGTAACAAGTAGCTCTATAGGGAAGACAGATATTCCTCTCCCGATAAAGAGAGAAGAAAATTCAGATAAGGGGAGATTAACTTTGCTTGAGAAGACACTAGGACCCAGAAACTTCCACTCAGAGACTGCCTTCTTTCCACTACAATAGATTGGTCAGACGCTGTCACTAGGATCCCTGAAGGCTGGTAAAATTTGAATCAAGCTCTTCATTTATCTTTCTTCACATCCCTTCCTGCCGGGTAAAAACCTATGTGCTTTAGTGGGCTTCCCACTTCCCCATTACATCTCAGCTATTAAGGCTGTTTCACACATAGGGCTCCCATTGACCCTGGCTCTCTCCCTAATTGAACCCAAAGACTAAAACATCCTTTACAATAAGCACTTCTTTGTAATAGACAGATTTCCTGGACCCATAAAACAGCTTTTAGAAAGGGCGAGCTGTATTTAAGGAAGACATTAATATAGTGCCACAAAATGAGGTTTGCTGACATATGACTCTCTGAATAATTTACTTTAAATAAATTAACACTAGGATTTACATTTACCTTTGAAAGTCCAATTTACTGGAGACACTGAGGATGTGCTCCCTGGAGAATGGGAATAATGAAAAACACCAGCTTTCGTTTGACTGCCTCGCTAAGAACCATAGTGATGAAATGGCTACCTTTTCTGGAGAACTCTCTCTCCCAGTTGACTCTCACTCAGACCATCCATTGGAGGGGCTTCCTGGTTTCTCCCGCAGCCCTTCTGTTTGCCAACAAGATGAGTTTAGCACCAGATGAGGGCAAGGGACAGGGGATAGCATGGAGGAAAGAAAACCCACTATAACTGAAAAGTTAATAATAATTATACTATAGCTGGAAGTTAGTGATAAATTATTTGCATATATTATCTCATTTCATCATTGTAAAAACTCTATGAAGTAGGATCTCATATTAATCCCGTCTGACAGATACAGAAACTATGACTTAAATGGTTAATTTACTGAGGATCACATAGCTAGTAAATGGTGGCCCTCATACTCAAATGTAAGGAGCCTTAAGTCAGAGTCCAAACTTAGGATTTTCTTTTAAATAATTATCTAATTATCAATAATTTAAATATTCGAATTTACATGATCATTATAAAAAATTGGAAAGAGAAAAAATATATATTAAAAAAAAAATCATCCTCTCTTAGTATCCAGCGTTAATTATTACCCAGAATACTCAGAGCTGATTGTTTGGTCATATTCTTTTTTCTTGTGAGAAGACTGCATTTCTGTTTTTCAGAGATTGAGCATATTTCTCTGTGCTTTAGGAGCTGGGGTGGGTAGCGTGGGCCTTTTATAGAGTAGAAAGGGAAAGCAGGGACCTTTTGGCCCGTTAAAATGAGTGCATGATTTATCTGCCCTTTCCAACTGGCAGCTGACCAAAGAGGCTGATGGGCATAGCAGGTTTCCTGGTCGCGTGTGGTTCCAGCATATGGAAATGCAGCGCTGCCACAGCCTGGCAATGGCGTCTCCCCCTCCTCGCTCAGAGCGTGGAACGGCCCTCGCCAGCGGAAGAACCAGGGGCAAGGAAGCCACCCAAATCCCTGTCCTAGACATAGTACCTGCAGGCCGTGCCAGGGTGCCCCGTCCGCACTCAAACATGCAGGATCCACAGCAGAGGATGCTGGTGAAGAGCTTGCACTTTAAAATCAGAGCTGGGGTCAAATCTAGCTTTGCCATATTCGAACCGTGGGAATCTGGCAGATTACGCAACCTGCTAAATTTCTGTTTCCTCCGCTATGAAATCAGGCAGTAGAGTGCAGCAGTTCAGTGTGTGGGTACCAGATTCAGGCTCATGTTGCTGAATCCTAGCAACATGACTTACCAGTTGGGTAGCGGTGGGAAAGCTACTTAGTCTCTCTGAGTCTCTGTTTTTTCATATATTAAATAAGAATAATGACACAGGTGAGGATGAAATGAGATTTTACTTGTGAAGAACTCAGTGTAGATACTTGGAAAATATTAGTTTGTTGTTTTTGTTGTTGTCGTTAAAATGAGGGTGGTTAGAGTACTCATAATATTTTTGTGACGATTAGTTGAAATCATATAAATAAAACGCTTAAACGATGTATTCCGTTGGAAGTTTAGTTGCTTAGATTAGACACTTTAAAGTCATCCTGAGTTCCTTTTTTTCCTCTTAAAATCATTCTGCCAGCAAATATTGTCAGCTCTACTGTCAAAAAATATTTAGAATCCAGCCACTGCTCACCTCTTCCCTTGCTGCAGCGCCGTCATTCTTACCAAGATTATTTCCGAAACAGCCTTTTAACCGGTTTTCTGACTTCTGTCCTTGCCCCCATACCGTGTATTCTCAATCCAAGAACCTTTAGTTTAAGGCTTTTTAAGGTTTGTTATTTTAATTTTTTTCATTGCGATATAGTTGACATATAACATTATATTAGTTTCAGGCATGCAACATAATGATTCTATGTATGTATATATTGTGAAATGATCACCACAATACATCTAGCTAACATCCATAGTCTTTTTATATTTTATTTTTTTATCTTGAAATACTGACTTTCAGAAAATTTCCAAAACTAGTACAGAAAGTTCATGTATATTCTTTACTCAATTTCCCCAGTATTAACAACTTATATATCATAGTACAATGATCAAAACCAGGACATTAACACTATTAACTACAATTCGTATTCAAATTTCACCATTGTCCCCTTTTTCTTCTTCCTCTGCCGGATGCAGTCCAGGATCCGACAGCACAGGAAGTTATCTCTTTAGTCTCCTACAATTTGCGATGATTTCTCAGTTTTTTCTTGACTTTAATGATCTTTTGATGAGTACTGGTCAGTTATTTTGTAGAATATCTATCGACTTGCATTTGTTTGATGTTTTGTCACCACGAGATTGAGATTATGCATTTTTAGCAAGCATACCACAGAAGTGATGGTGTGTTCTTGTCAGCACATCGTAGTCAGGTTACCTCATTTTGATATCTTATTGGTGATGTTAACCTTACCCACTTAATTGCAAGTGGTGCTTATTGGGTTTCTCTGCTAGAAAGTTATTGTTGTTTTCTTTGTAAGTGGTCAATATTTTGAAGGAGATAATTTAAAACTGTGCTAATATTCCATTCTGTTCAAATTTTCACCTTCCGATTTTAGCGTTCATTGGTGGAATTTGCTTGCAGCAACTATTACTGTGATATTCTAATGATGGTTATGTATTTCTTTCATTCGCTCTATATTAATTTGAATTATTCTATCCCTTCTCCCCTATTTACTTGTTTATTCAATTATGTGCTTATATTACTATTTTTATTTTATTTTATGGATTTAATCTAATTCTAAAATTATTTATTTTGCTGCTCAAATTATCCTAGATTTGACCTTCGAATTAACTCCTATCTTCTTTTACCATGCCCCCAATTTTTTTAGGCACTTTATTTCTGTCACCAGAA